ATAAACAAAAAAAATTAACTATTTAAATAATATATTAAATTATATTAAAAGTAATAAAATCAATTATCCCAACACCATTCTCCTTTTTATATTCATTCTTTTCATTTTTCATTTTCATTTTCTGTTTCAGAAAATTGTTCTCTCTTGTTTTCTCGCTCTGCAAGAACTTCACCTCTTTCCCCTCCACTTCTCCTCTTCGGATCGAATTCCACCCACCATCCCAGAAAATCAAAAACAAATTCATTCATCCATACTCAATACTTTGCCCTTATTCGAATTCGGAGAAGAGGTTCTGTTTCCCCAGAATTCGATGCCAAGAGCTGTAATTCGCTATCTCCATCTCTGTCAATTGCGTTCGCGGGGGTCAAGTTAGTGGTCTTTTTTGGGTTATTTGGTGGTCGTAGGGTTTGATTATCTCCGATCCAGGTTATTCTTCTTTGATTCATCCTGTTTCTTTCTTTGCCCTATTCGATTTGTTGCAAACCCTAGTTTTGATTTGAATAGTGGAAATTCTTTGATTCGTTGTGTACTGATTAATTCGATGACACCGTAGTTTCTTGTTCCAATTTTGTAGTTGATGATAGGATCGTTATTGCAAGAAAAACTCTGTGAAATTTTTGGTGCGTTGTTTTAGTTAGCATTCCAAAATCGAGGGTTTTCTTGTCAGGTTAGGAAATCCACTAATTTGCCATTTTCTTGTTCTTTTCTTCTCTAATATCTATTCCTGATTTGTCTTCCTTCAAATATATAAGAAAAATCATCTTCTTCAGTCTTCACCACAGCTCTGCTTCTAAAAAAAGAAAGAGAGAAAAAAAAAAAAAAAAAGAAGGAAAAAAATTAACAAAAGCAAGAGTCTTTATGGTTTACATGTAAAAAGGTCTTTTGGGGTTTGCTTTTCATATTGTCTGTACAAAGTATAGAGAGACTGGGTTCGGGTCTGTATACAGCAATGACATTGAATTTCTCACATCGACTCCTCTTTCCTTCTCATTTAACTGAAGACAATTTGGTTTCGCCGATGAGAATTAATAATGGATACCTTGTTGAGGGAAGGCTGGATCAGAATAATGGAGACAGCTTTTGTAGATCTTGGCATCCTAATGGTGAAATTGAGGGTTTCCTTGATTACAGGAGTGATGAGGGTGATAGTTATGCCCAGGACTCTGTTTCTAATGACATTCTTGATCTTTTGCCTTCTGATCCCTTTGGCATGGATATTGGCATGGATATTGGCAGTACCTTTACTGCAATTACCGGTTGGCTAGAGGATTTGGAAGTTGGTTGTGGTGGGTATAAAGGGGATGAAGTGGGGATGGGTGATGGGAACTATCAGTTGTTTGCAGGATTGCATTTTATTTGGAACAATGCTATGAGGTTCCAAGCTTTTCCAGGCAATGTCGGGTTTGAGTGTAAAGCCCATATGACTGGTGGATTTGGTTTGGATTCCAAGGAACAGGATTTAAGGGATGTATCAAATCATAGCGATTGTGGGTCAGCTTGTTATATGGAGGATATTTTGAGTGTGGGAAATCCTAATTTGGGTGCTTGTGATCAGGACAGCGGGTCCTATTCTGATGGAGGAGCTCCGCATGGAGCTTTGGTTTTTGCCCTTGGTTATCTAGGGGTGAGGGATCTTCTTGCAGTTGAAACAGTTTGCAAATCTCTGCGATCTACAGTTCAGAATGATCCTCTCTATTGGAGGAGTATTCACATAGATCAACCTCTTAATGAGAAGATTAATGATGATGTTCTTTTGCAATTAACCAATAGAGCACAAGGTAACCTGCAATGCTTGAGCCTGGTGGCCTGCCTAGGGATTACTGATGAAGGTCTGAAACGTGTGCTTGAAAATAATCCAAGACTGACCAAGGTTTGTGTGTCTTTTCTGAATGTTGATTCCCACTCAAGTTTTTCATTTGAGGTTACATGACTGCTATTATAGGCATGTGTGGTGTGTCTATGCATGTCTTGCATATTTTTAAATCTGTTTTGTTAATTTTGTTACAACAAGCCCAAGAATTGTAAATTTTGTACTTAAATCCATGATGTACGCACAGAATTATAATTTTGTTGGTTATACATGGAAAACAAAAGGAGTTGAGCTGTATTTCTGGTTTATTTCGTGGGGATATTATCTTTTGAATTGGATCAAACTACGTTTGTGTTCTCATGGTCCATTCACTCAACCTTAGTGTGTTGTCATATGTAGTAGTTGCTTTGCATTTGAAATGTTTCTGCTTTAGGTCAGTTACTAATCTACTAATTGCTGTCTTACTTATTGCAGTTGAGTGTTCCTGGATGTACAAGATTGAGTATTGAGGGCATTGTGAATAGCTTAAAGGGTTTCAAGTCTATGGGCTCTCAAGGTGTCAAGCATTTGAGAATTGGTGGGCTTTATGGTGTCACCCAGAAGCATTTTGAAGAGTTAAGGTGCTTGATGGATACAGATGACCAGACAAGTCAGAAAAAGCATAAGCCACATTTTTATCATCGAGGAAACTTTTATCTCTCATCTGAAGATGATCGTGCCATTGATGTAGAAATGTGCCCAAGGTGCCAGAACTTGAAACTGGTTTATGATTGTCCTTTAGAAGGTTGTCAGGGGAAGGAACATGCCACTCAAGTATGTAGGGGGTGCAAGCTTTGCATAGCACGGTGTGTTCAATGTGGTCGCTGTATTTATGACAATGAATATGAGGAAACATTTTCCTTGGAGTGGATCTGTTCAGATTGTGGCAAGCAGAGGTATGATAGAAACATTGATTCCTCTTAGTATTCCTCTCTCCATAATCTAAGTAGCCTCTGTCTTCATGGCTAAATAATAATATTTCAAGTTTTTTGATTTCAGATTATGACTGGCTGGAAATGTTTCCTGATAATGCTATGTGGCCTGGCAGTGATGTAAGATTATCTCCCGTTTTTCTTTTATTTTTGGCTCAATGTAGTCTGCTAGGTAAATCTGTCCCTTGACTGTAACTTGGATGGGTCATATTTGAGGCCCTTGGTGTCTGGGTTTTGTGATACTTAGAGGAGGATAGGGTTTGAAGGAAATAAGAGATGTGGAAAGGAATAATATTTAGGGAAAAGAATCTGAAGAAGGCAGGATCTTCTTTTGTAGCTTCTTATGCAGAGATCTCATCTCAGTGGTTTCTGTCACTGGTTAGTCCATTTCAATAAGTTCCAAGTAGTTCGGTTTGTGTGTCAATGTTGGGAAATAAAGTGAGCCCTTGCAGAGGGGGTCATGACCCTTTAAGCCTGTCTTTGCGATGAAATTATTGTACTGTCAAAAACAAGGTGGAATGGAAGATGACTTTGTGGTTTTAACGTTTGTTTACCCTTGGTAGTGAAGCCTCTTTATCCATGTATTTATTATGATCAGTATAACTGCTTGCTGGATGGAGTAATCCAGAGGACCTTGCTGCATCTGCTGGCATTCTTAATCATTAAAATTTTAACTTTGTGGAAGGAAGAGTCAATGATGGCCTGAAACCTTTGTTTCTTCCTTGAAGGAGTTGTGGTCCCTTTTGTAATGTAAAACTGTATACTTTTGCTTCTCTTCGAATTTGATGGTTTTCAATGTATGTTATTGGAGGTTTATATATGTTGGGCATCAGACGTTTGTGTTACCCTTGGCGTAAAATGTTTTGTGTTACATGGAATGTTATGAAATAATTTCAGTTTGTGTTTTCATTTTTATTTTAATCAGCAAATATGAAATAAATTCAGTTGACATCATCTTTTATGGTGTTGTGCTGCTATGGATTCTATCTTTTGATTTTGCAGCTAGAAGAGGTTCAATCTCTGTAACCAATTAAACGACCTCTTCCCTTCTGTTATAGTGTTATATGTGGATGGCTGGTGTCAACGGAAAATAATTTTTTTTTTTTTTTTTTGGGGTGAAACCAATGGAAAATGATATCTCAATACATTAATGACACTTCATAGTTTAGCTGTTTTATTTAATCCAATAAACATTTTTGTTCTGCTCTGAATCACGACTTCATTAATGACTTCGCTCTCCGTTTCTGCTTGTTAATATTCGTTAACTATTAAGCCACAGTCTGTTAATATCTGCTGAAGAAAACTGGTTTGAGGGAAATAAATGAATAAAACTGTTTCAGCAAAAACCCAGGAAGATGATATGCTAAAAATGCTGCTATAGAACCTGCAAAAAGGCACAATATGTATAGTCGTGGTTGTAAAGGGGGTGCAATACATTCCCATAACATTTAACAATACCTCCTCCTGATTACAATATGAAGCTGAAATCAGATGTCAGATGCAATCAATGAAAACGAAACATAATGTCATATTATCACAAATTAATGCATAAAGGAACATGGCTTATGACTCAACATCTCGGAAAATGAGACCATTAGGATCATTAAGTTGAACATTGAATGGGAGACTCCTTGTTTGCAGCAGCAGAAACACATTTTATTTCTGAGACTTCTTGCGAAACTCTTTTACCCACTTGAAAGTTAGCAATGACTTCCCAAACTTGCTCTTGTCCGATCCATCCTTCTTCTTCTTATCATTTTCTGACGATTGTGGAGGAGGATCATCGTTGTAATCCCATTGATCAGCCCAGGACAAGCCGTTATCCATCTCTTCTTCTCTCATGTTGTCTCTCTAAGCTCATTCTTATAATATGTTCCGCATGAAGTTCTATTTTTAGAAAACTTAGCCCAACTGTTCTATGCTTATTTTGACATCATGTTGTTGTAGCCTTTCCCTTTGACGGAAATTAGTTATTTTTAGGTGGGCAGCTTTTGAATTTTTCTTTCAACTGCCATTTACTTATTTTAACGTGTCATTTTCTTCCTTCTGATTGAAGTTCATTGCTTCAAGCTTGGTTATTTGGATGATTAGGTATGGAATTTTGGTCGTCCAAAGTTTGTTCTTGATTGGTTGTTTAGAGCGAAAAAACTGTCCTTTCACACATCTGCAGCTTGACTAAAATAAAAATTGATGTTTGAAAACCAAAAATTACCATAGAAAGAACGTTGCTTTTCGGTCTAAACTGACAAAAAAAATGACATTTTGGATTGAAATTGAAACAAATGCCCTCTAGTCATTTTCGAAGAACTGACATTTTTCTGCTACCCCATATTGACAAACTTTTGTGTCATAAAACAGTAAAAAACAACACAAATAATAAGACATAATGAAAATAGAATGAAATAACCCATTTTAATCAATTAGGAAATTCGATTCAATAGAAGGTCCACAATTGCAACCAAAGTAGTCAATAAAAGCATGGGGAGCAGTTTGAGGTTTGACAATTAGGAAGAAAAAGGGGGAGCCAGATACTGTTGTTTCAATATCGGGTTCTTCATCTATAAAATTCAATATGACCTGCAATCTCTCTACACAACAATTTTGCTTCACTGGCTAACTTTATACTCTGATGCATCACGAGCCCTGTCTGCTTGTGAGTAGATGCTGGCTCGTAAGTCTTGGCCTCATCTTCCCTACCCAGCAATAGAGCTTCCCTAGCAGGTATTACATTTTCCCACCAAAATTCCCGCAAAATGCCATGTATTAGCTCCCAATAGCTGTGCTTCCTGTGTACACGGAATATCGTGCTTCCATTTGGTGTCCAGCAGTATAAATCAACCCAATCTCTGTCCATTATCTCCATTTGACCCTGCACCTGAGGCATGTAATAGAATGGCATGGTTGACCAGGGCAGAGCAATATCAGGTTTCCCTTTGTTGTATGGACATTTTACTTCAAGGATACCACCTCCAGGAAAGCAACCAAGAAGACCATCAGGCGATGCACCAAGCCAATCAAACTGCTCATTTGAATGGATTGCAAAACCCAAGGAGCCAACATCACGACCTGTGATACTTTTGTAGCAGTTTATTGCAGTTCCTTCATTAAGCACACCCCACTCCATAGCACACCTATTAGAAGATTCCACAACCTGTGTCTCCGGTAAAAATACTTTCTCATGCCAGAGCTCAGAGCGACGTTTTCCTTTCCAAAAACCCAAGGCAGTGCTAAAGGTGCTTGTGGTCAACTTGTTTCTCCGAAGAGCAAACCATTCTTCTGAGCGTTGAGGTAAATCAGATGAGCTGTTGGCAGCCAGCAAGGAGGAATGGACAATAATAGAGGGATTTCCAGAACCGTGTGGCACAGCACAGGTGAAAAAGAATTTGCTAATTCCATTTCTCCACCTTTTGCTCAAGGGCAGCGGTGTAACTGCCTTATGGCAAACAGTTGAAAACCTAGCAATACAATGATTGCTCATCAGGAAAGAATACAGCCTTCAATCGGATGCTTTATTTTGCTGCAAGATCAAACAAAAGCTATAAACTGTTTAAAGGATTACTAGGAGATTCGGGCCAAAATAATATATAACCAAAGAGATTTCCCTGCAAAAAACTAATGCTCATACATTATGATAAACTTTAACATAACTAAATAACTTAAAGTGAAACCAACATTAGAACTTCTAAAATATTTAATTTCTTGTTTACAAATCTGCAGTACAAAGAGACAATGGCACACAGAATCAACAAGAGAGAAGTCTCCCTTATTTCCCTTCAGTCAGCATCCTCTTATTGCCATTGAAATTTAATAATCAACATTTCATTCTGGTAGGACAAAAAGGACCAGCTCATTTGAAATTCAGGGAAAAAGCAGCTACATTTGAACCCTATATCATGAATTACAAAAAGTGGCATTACAAGAGCCAAGTAATTGCATCATTTTAATTGTTTACCAGTTAAGTAATTCAACCCAGCATGCATTTTATGTCAGATTGTCAACAAGATTAGGAAATCGAGTAAATCATCAGTAAAAGACCAAAGGGCAATTCTCTTTGGAAAACAAACTCACCCACTCCCGACCCAAAAAAAAGGGAAAAAATCAGCAAATTCCCAAGCTTCAGCTAAATGCACCAAAGTCATGGCATATTCACAAAAAACTAAAGAACCCATTTTGCAAAATTTCTCATACAGACAAAATAACCTATAATGCAGGCAAGGAATGGAAAAAAACGAGACGCATAAAACATTGGCACGGGGTGTTTGATAATATACCTGAGAGAAAACTAAAGCCACTAAAATTGGAGAACGAGTGCCGAAACCCCTATCTAGAGGAAGAAGAATGGCACTGAATCAGCTTCGTCAACATATTTTGATTAAAAACCGTAGCTTTTTGAGGATTTGGCTCCAGAAATGAAGAAGAAGACGAGGGCCTGGAGCAGGTAAAAGGAAGGAGCATTCGGATATTCTTCTGCTGTTATTGGTGAATGATTAATTTGTCAATATCTGATCCTTTTCTAGTTCGGATAAGACTAGGGTTTGGTTACTTGCCGGACTAGAAATAGAAGAAATACATGGCAGGAAGAATACGATAGCAGATGAAAACACTATTCAGGCGTAAACACTTGCTGGTAAGCAAGTTCACTGTGGTTTAATTGCATTTCCTTAAAAAAAAAAAAGTAAAAAAGAAAAAATCACTGTATTTGATTATATTGAAAAATTTTATTTTCTGTCAATAAATTAATTATGTCAATAAATTAATTAATTCAACGATTACTCATTTCGTTTAAAATAAAAAATTATAAATTTAAGACATATGACATTCAAGTGTGATAAGATAAAAGATAAAAAATAATTATTTTTAGTGCAATCAAAATAACAAAAAATTATTTTCTTGAAAGATGTCGACTATTTCTTTTTTAAGATGGTATGGTTATAAAATTATGTGTGATTATAAATTTGTAATATAATTTATTTTTATTTTGAATTTGTTTTTAATATTATATATTTATTAATTTGATATTATGTTATTTTTATTTAATATTATATTTATAATGTTATTAATTATTTTTAAAATATTTTAAAATTTTTTCATAAAATTTATTTATAAAAAATTATTGTCCAATTTAACTTGATGCAAACCGCACAATTATTGATGTTGAATTGTTGATGCTGGACGCTGCTTAAATGTGGGGTCTTCTTGCAAAATCAATAGCCAATTTTTTGAGTGAACACAGCAAAAATATTAAAAAAATGTCCTCATTTATTTATTTGTTAGTAAAGTTTTTTTTTTTTTTTGTTAAAACAGTTGTAAATTTTTTTTAAAAATAATTCAACAGTAAAATAGGTTTGTAATTTGCCAACCATCACTAGTAATTTCCTACTACTATTAAAAGAATGAAGTTTTATGTTTTAGTCAAGTTATTTATATGTAAGGCATATTTGACATTACAGTTAAAGTTTAGTAGATAGGAGGAGGTAATGAGTGGTAGGTAGTAATTCGTAGATTGTGGGTGGTGAGAAGCTTGCAGTAAATAGTAGATAATAAATTTTGATTCATATAATTATTTAATTATATAATAATTAATAGTTATTGTTTGGTATTAAATAATTAATAAGGGTATGTTTAAAGTAATTAAATATTTTAATATTTATTATTAAAATTATTAATTTTATAAAAATTATAATAAATAAATAAAATATAAAAGAATGAATCACACAATTATTTTTAAATAATAAAAAACAAAATTCTAATTATTTCATTTAATTAT